CTCAATACAGAGCGCTCGGGCGGCTGCAGCATGGGGGGGGGGCGGCGGGGCTGGCCATGGCACCCCCCACCCGGCTGGCACCCGGGGCGGACCGCCCCCCCCGCCCCCCCCTTAGTACGCCACTGCCAGCCCCATAAGTCACTGCGCCATATATTGTCGCGTGTAATATGCAAGGCTATGTCTTGCCATGACAGATGATTGAGTAATATATATATATATATATATATATATGTATTGCTTTTTCTAATATAAAATATTGGTCCTTTCAGGGTAAAACGTTTAATTATACAGTAAGCATACTCACATGCAGACACAGGCAATTTCACTGACATCTCAATGACACACACAAGCTCATTGATACACAGCCTCATAGACAAACAATCTCACTGATATACATCAGCTCATTGACATAAAAACACAAGCTCATTCACTAGCAGGCACACGCATGCAAGCAAACTCACTCACTAGCAGACGCACACAGCTTAATGTAGTGGTATTGGTGTCTATAGCATGTCCCTACAGGCTTTTCAACGTAAACGCTGACTTTTCAGAGAAAAGTCGTTGTTTACATTGCTTCAAAGTAACACTGCTAGTGACAGTCACTCAGACGGTCACTAGAGGTGCTTCCTGTGTTAGTGCACCTAACATTCAGGGCCTCCACACTCTGTAGGTGCTGAACGTTCCCCATAGAGATACATTGATTCAATGCATCTCTATGAGGAGATGCTGATTGGAGTGGTGTTTTGCAGCCAATCCAATGGCAAAGCATTGGATTGGCTGAGATCATCAAGCTTGATGATCTCAGCTATAGAGGCAGGGCCATTCGAGGGGAGACCAGCACGCTGCGTGGGGAAAAAAAAGGTGAGCAAAAACACTATTTTTAAACACACATATACACCATGACAGACACAGAAACACACATACCATGACAGATACACACCCTATGATGGATACACACCCCATGACAGACACACACACACCATGACAGACCATGACACAGACAGACCCACACACACACACCATGACACAGACACACACACACCCCATGATGGACAGACACACACACCCCTTGATGGACAGACACACACACCCCATGACGGACAGACACACACACCCCATGACGGACAGACACACACACACCCCATGACGGACAGACACACACACCCCATGACAGACAGACACACACACACCCCATGACAGACAGACACACACACCAACACACCATACAGACAGACACACCATACAGACAGACACACACACACACCTTACAGACAGACACACACCATAACAGACAGACAAACTCCCACTGACACATTACTAATACCTGCCAGGGGGAGGTCTTCTGGCGGCCGCTGGGGAGGTCTTCTGGCGGCCGCTGGGGGACTTGTACTGGCGGCCGCTGGGGGAGCTGCGCTGCCTCTGCTCTCCTGCCCTCACGCGCTGCTGAATGAGACCGGCGCCGGAATATGACGTCATATTCCGGTGCCGGTTTCATTCAGCTGCGTGCTGGGGAGCAGAGCCAGCGCAGCTCCCCCAGCAGCCACCAGTACAAGTCCCCCAGCGGCCGCCAGTACAAGTCCCCCAGCGGCCGCCAGCAGACCCAGGTGTCTGCCCGGCCCCAGGTGCCGACGGCCCACCGGGAAATTTCACGGTATCCCAGTGGGCCAGTCCGGCCCTGTTTGCATCTGTCTCTGGGTGTATCTGTCTTTAATGTCACAATACTCCAATTGCCCTCAGCCACCACATGATTAAACTAAAGATGAAATTAATAACAGAGGAGGGAAGTGAGTTCCACAGGAATGGTGCAGCCCTCGAAAACTCTTGAAGGCGAGTATCAGAGGTGGTAGTATGGACAGAAGACAGAGGTAAGTTTTCAGCAGAGCGTAAGGGTCTAGACTGGACATACTTGTGTATTAGGGAGGATAGAAAGGTGGGAGTAGCATTATGTAAAGATTTGAAAGCAGGAACCAGAATTTTATATTGAGCCCTATATCTTACGGGAAGCCAATGCAGGGACTGACAGAGGGGTGAGACGTGGGAGGTTAGGGCGGACAGGAAGATGAGCTTTCATCATAGACTGCAATGGGGTAAGTTGGAAACAGGCAACACCACTGAGAGGTGGATTGCAGTAGTCAAAGTGAGAGAGGTCAGTGGCTTGGACCAGCACCTTAGCTACATCTGGCGTTAAGTAGGGCTTGATGCGTGCAATGTTTTGGAGATGGAAGCGGCAGAATTTGGCAATCGACTGGGCATGAGGGGTGAAGGAGAGATCGGGTTCAAAGAGAACAACTAGGCAGCAAGCCTGCGTGGTGGAGCTGATGGTAGCACCATTAATGTGGAGGGAGACAGAAACGGGAGTAGCAACACTTGAAGGGGGAAAGACAAGAAGTTCTGTATTGGACAATTTGAGCTTAAGAAAGTGAGCAGCCATCAGGGACGGGGTGAGATCAGGGGATGACAGATAGAGTTAAATGTCATCCGCATAGAAGTCCAAGGGAAGCAGTATAGATCAAGAACAGTAGGGGGCCAAGGACTGAACATTGAGGGACACCAACAGAGAGAGGTTGGGGGTAAGAGGCAGAGCAGAAAAAGGAACACTAAAAGAGCTGTGGAAGAGGTAGGAGGAGCACCAGGAGAGAGCAATATCTCGTAGACCGAGATTATGGAGGATGAGAAGAAGTTCTTGATGATCAACCGTTTGAAAGCAGCAGAACAAGACATGCAAGCATTAAAGAATATTCAATGTTCCTCAGAAATTTTTACCTGACCACCCATTGAGTATTTGGAGTCTCTAAGGATTGTATTGTCCTAGAACTATTTCAAATTTGAAAATAACTTCTTCTTACAGTTAATAACTTCTTCTTACAGTTATCCAGAACTGCCATAGGTGTGGCTATGACATCTTCTTATGCGAATGCCCTCATGTATTGGTTGGAATGTCAATACATCTTATCAAAATATACTGAAAACATTGTGAAATTCCACATTTTTCTAAATTATGCATTTTTGATTTGACAAGGCACCTTTCAATAACGTCAAAATATGGTAAAAGAGGTTAATCTGTCTATACTTCCTGTCACACTGTGTGCCAATTGGGATGACGTATCAATCACTGTTCTTGAGGTTACTATTTTTAATACATTGTATAAACTTGGTTATACTTTACACCAAATATCTATGGACCGCAAAACCCTATTATTGGATTCTAGCTCCACAGCCAGATCCACAGCCAGCTATAGGGGCCATGTGATCACTCTTTGAGAGCGATCAAATGGCCCCCGGGGGCGTCTTTTGCCATGAGAGGGCTGCCAGGGCTGTCAGGCAGTCCTCCCGAAGCATATCCTGGGCGCTCTGGGGGATGCAGCCATTACGGGATTCTATGCTGCCGCAACGGCATTAAAGACCTCTTAAATTGGGACGGCATAGAACGCCGTAACGACATTAACGGGTTAATAAATAAAACTGCACTTGTTTATATCCTACATATGAAGGATTTGGGAATCTAACCAGGCTGTTATGACAGCTAGTAGGATTCTACAAGAGGATTTTTCTTTTTTACGTTGGGCATTATTATTAGATTTTAAATTTTACCATAATTGGTGCAATATTTAAAGGGACACTATAGTCACCAAAACAACTACAGCTTAATGTGTGCAGAAAAGTCAGTGTTTACATTGCTGCTTAGTAACACCTCTAGTGGTAGCCACTCAGATGACCACTAGAGGTGCTTCCTGGGTCAATGCTGCACATACAGTTTTTCTGCGGTCTTACACATTCCGAGTTGACCCTGTTACAATCTATAATAAATGCAGCTTCGAGGCTCATCTTCCTGTTTGCCCATACCTCCCATGTCAGTCCTTACACTTGCTTCCCGTAAGATATATAATTTAATTTAAAATTCTGGTTCTTGCTTACATATCTTTACATAATGCTGCTTCTACCTATCTATCCTGACTGAAGTATCCTCACTGATGCACAAGTCCAGGACCCTGTGCTCTGCCGCAGATTTGCGTCTAATACCTGTTCTTCCTCGCACCTCTGACGCCCGCCTTCAAGACTTCTCTAGAGCTGCACCTTTCCTATAGGACTCCCTTTCCTGCTCACCTTGTCTCAGTTCCTTTAAAAGATCATTAAAAACTCACTTCTTTAACCCCTTAAGGACACATGACATGTGTGACATGTCATGATTCCCTGTTATTCCAGAAGTTTGGTCCTTAAGGGGTTAAGAAAGCATATCAATGAAATGATATTTAAATAACATTTAGGATTGAGGCTTGGTGTGTTTATATATATATATTTTTTTGGACAACTTTACATAATATTCTGATAGAAATCCACATACTCTAGTGTTTCTGGAAGATGTGCTTTATAAAGTAGGGTTCTATTGTCTTTCTATAACTTTTTCCAACTCTTGATTCTGTATTTGTCAAACAACAACAATGGCCTCACCGGACCCAATAGTCGCCATAAGCAGGGTTGCTTTCTTTGACACTTGTGATTTCTTCACGCTGTAGGGCAGTGCAGGAAAAGAGCTGTGCTGTAGCGTGTAGAAATCATTTGCTGCAGAAGAGAAATATATTTATGAATCAAGGAAGAACTGCAAAGGAACTGCCTTGATTAGTGGTTTCCCAACTGCAGCCTTTTAATGCCACAAGCTGCAGGAGAGCACCTTTTCTTTACTGCTCATTAACATGTAGACGTAGTTAGTAGACTTGTGCACAAATCCCTTTCTGCTACATTGAACAAATCAAATACTTATTAATCGATTAACAAATGGATTAATTAGCCAATTCAGAGCAAATCGATTCATTTGACCATTAATTGGAAGACATTTGATTTGATCAAAATAACTGGAAGAAATTTGTACCCAAGTATAGTGATTAGCTAACTATTCTCCTACCAGATTAACCAGCAGAACATTGCTCAGAGTCTTCAGACAAACCACGTTCAGCTGTATTTAGGGAGGGGGCCAGACTATAAAGCTGATGGACTGGGTGGAGGGTATTTGTACAGAAATATATGGAAACAGTTCCTAAACTACACAAGCCAAAGACTTTTTGAAATATCCTGCTAGAGATCTAGGAGTTTGTTTTCTGATATTTGTGATAATGGATACACCAGGTATTTGATCCTAAAATAATATATATTTAATGTAATACTTTAATGCTGTTTTTATTTATTTTTGCTATAACTTTTTGGGTTGCCACCTTTCTTGGGGAAAAAATACTTGCCTTACTAATTTGCATAATCTTTGTATGTGTGTAATCACATGATGTTGGTCACAAGGAGTGACCAAAGAAACCATTCTGTAAAATCACCCAAAAACTTGGTTTGACTTTAATGTATATGGATTGTACTAGTGTCAGTCTCCCCTAATCTTCCAGTGTCTGTGCCCCCATGTCTTAGTCGCCCAGTGTCCCCATGACACTGGGAGACAATTAGGGGACACTGGAGACTTGATGAAGACCTGGGTACAGGTCAAAATGTTGAGGTGTCCAATAAACCTGCTTAAACCTATCAGTGAGTGCCATGAGGGTGTATGGCTTTTTTTTCTCTCTGGGAGACATGAGGACACTTGGCGTGCCCCATATGTCTGTCGCTTCTCTAACATCCCCCTAGTATGTCTGTTAATTCAGCCCTGCTGCTCAGGGAAGTGTCCCCAAGCAAATCAACAAAGATCTGAGGTGTGTAGACCAGAGATGGGTGTCACATAGGTATAATATCCACCTTTTTGTAAGAAGATTATGGTGGAGGGCCTGGTTAATGGTAAACTTTACTCTAGCATATATCTCAAAGGACTGACTATATTCCAAACACATGCCTGCTGTTTTGTCTTTATAAATGGTAGTGTGACCTTCTATAAGATCCTATGTCCGGCAATCTGTGGGGAAAGACTTCTGCTATCGAGCAATTTATGCACCTGATATTGAAGGGGAGCCCTATATCTTCCTGGTTCAGTGACCTGGTCACCTTGCTTAGTGTTTGATACCTGACTGACACCGCTGAATGGTTCTCCTTTTCTCAGAGCTGAAGTGGGAATAAAGGGTGCTCAGTTATTGTCGGATAATGACCTCATATAGTGCTGTCATGCAACATCTGAAACTAAAATGCCTTGCGCTACCTCACCCATCTTCCAATGTAACCTAGCTATTCAACCCTTCTTAATGCATCAGTGTAAACTGCAGCACTAATTGCATGTTAACACTATATTCATATAGTGTCTGTATTTCTGTGCACGCATGTGAATGGGGACATGGAAGTATGCAGTTCTTAACAGGTATTCTAACTAAAAGGCACTTGTGCCCTCAGTTCGTTGTGCAAGGTGGGAGGGAACAACCTGAGGTCTTCATTAAGATGCCTAGAAACTTGATGACCTTATTGTGAGAAGTCCTGCTGTTACTCTGTACTAGACCTTGACCTCAACCGGTTCTGCTTCCAAACATATAAAAAAAATTTCTTCTAATTTCAGATACCATCCTGTTTGCCATCAGCAGTGACTATGTGGCTAGAGCTGGCCTACCGCCCAAGGATCGTATGGATAGCTACTACGACAGATCTACTGCTGTAGGGAAGCTAAATAATGTAACCAAGATTGTGTTAAGCCCTGAAGGGCAGCTCTTTGCTGTCCGTGGCAGGGATCTTTACACTGGGCCTATGCCTCTGTCTGCAAACCTTGACTGGTTCTCTACTGCCAAGAGAGTGGGCAAAGCTGAGTGGGTTCAATTTAAATTTCTATTCTTTGACCCAAATGGCCTTCTGTATGCAGCTACAAAAGATGGGGAGCTCTACAAGGGTCCAGCACCAAGCAATGAAAATGTGTCCTGGCGTTATGGTCAAGCAACCAAGATAGGAAACTCTGGTTGGAATAAACATGATGCGCTTTTCTTTGACCAAAAAGGCAATCTGTATGCTGTGACCGATGGTGACAAGCTTGTGGTGGGAAGCCCTCCATCCACAACAAACGATAAATGGCTTGACTCCTGCACCACTATTGGAGATGGTGGCTGGCGAATTCTCACCCACTTCATGAAGATCAGCCTTGATGACCTACTGTGGTGTGTGGATTCACGCAATGGCAACATCTATAAAGGGAAAATCCCAACTAAAGATGATACCAACTATTTGGATAATGCTGAGCTCCTAGGTTGGAGCTATAATATGTACCGCTTTCTAGCCTTCACTGTTGATAAAACCATCCACAGTGTTGTAAGCTTTGAATTCCTACCTGCATCAGGTAAAATACTCTCTCAGCAGCCAGAGGTGGTCCAGTCTCAAATCTACAAGAATACAAGCAGCGTTCCCTTAAAGTACTCCTTCTCGTAAGTATAGGCTGAATGAATGGTAGTCTGCCCTTCTCCCTTACAGAAGGAATTAATGTGACATTAAGCTCTTGGGTTAAAATAGGCAAAGCTTCTCAAATGCAGCATATTCTAGTTTCCAAATCCCATGTTCACTCCAGTTTAATGAATACTCTTCATTGCATGCATGGCACCCTAACACTGACTGTTTTGAAGACCCTCTATTGCTCTACATCTGGATGCTGTCTGCAATGTCACTCTAAACTTGTTACTGGATGTGGAGGGTATACTCAAATTGGTGTAAGCTGTATTCTCTGCTAGCTCAGTGGTATGTCATGAACATTCTAGTCCATAACTAAATTTCCCCAACTTCACAATTCTTCTTAGATTCTCCAAAACCATGACTGAGACTAGCAGCTTTACCCAGGAGCATGGCTTTACAGTAGAAGTTGGAGCAGAGGTCACTTTTACTGCTGGCATCCCCTTTATAGGTGACATGGAGACAAGCATTTCCATCAACACCAGTACCACTCACACCTGGAGCTTCTCAAAGACCAATGAAACACAGGTATGTGTCTGACATGCTAGCTGGGTTTTGGGATCTGTATACATACTGTCCACTGAGAATAATTTTGTGGCACGTTTTGAAAGCTAATGTGCATTTGAACTTTCAACCCTCCCTTCTATGCTTCTCTCTACAGACTAGCTTCTCAGCCAGCACGGATGTAGAGGTGCCGGCTGGAAAGTCTATACGTATGATGGCTTCTGTCACAAAAGCACAAATGGATGTGCCATACATTGCCAAGATCTGCACCCTGTTTGGCTATGAAACCACTATCCAGGGAACATGGAAAGGGGTCACTCACTACAACCTGATGGTCACTCAGGAAGACTACAGTGGCTGAGGTGGATCACATGTATACAGTCTCCAAATGTAGGCTGGAATGTGATTAAATGAGACTATCTAATCCACATAGGGTCTGGTCAATAAATGCAATAATGTATGCTTGATTGTTGGTGCCTTCTGGTGTACAGTTGCTGAATAAACTAAATGACAACCTGATATATTGTGATTTTTATTCTGAGCTAATGTTGTGGGCATGGTTTCATCAATTCCTTCCACTGTTGGAAAGTAGAACCACATTTGATGCATTAATACGCAATACATCTGCCATCAGTTAATATACTGGGACACCAGGGTGTCTGGAGGTTTTGTCTACCCCTTCACAACAGGTCAGTCTTTATTTATAGTACTCTGCCTTTTTTAGTATAGAGCTAATAATCTGCATGGATCTGTTTTTGAAATACTTTATTCAATTTATTGGTCACTCTCTTTAGAGGAGGGTTGACTAATTTATCACTCCTTTATGATGGCTGGCTAATCTCATGGCACTAATCTAGGGTTGTAATTAGCCATTTTATATTTACTGAGCATTACCTGGCTGTCAGATAACCTCACAGGTTGCCAACTTACATATTTCTTTTGGACCAATTAACTTGAAAACCAGCCAGATCCCAACGTTTAAATGGATAGTGCTTCACCTGCCTCTACTTATTCCCTGTCCACAACCCAATTTTTTTTTTTTGTGCTTCCACTGTCTCTCGTCTTTCCTGATGTCTTCAGAGCCTCTACTCTGGCATCATTATAATTTAGGAATTGTGACAGATCTGCCCTTAATTTTTTTTTTTTTAATTTATTATAAACATAGCAGCTTCTCTGAAACTGCCATGTTTATAAATGGGTTAAGCCTTCCCCCATTCCCTCTAGTGGCTGTCTCATTGACAGCCGCTAGAGGCGTTTGCGTGCTTCTCACTATGATTTTCAGTGCGAGCACGCCAGCGTCCATAGGAAAGCATTGATGATGCTCTCCTATGCGACCGGCTGAATGCGCGCAGCTCTTGCCGCACGTGCGCATTCAGCCAACGGGGAGAAGAGAAGGAGGATCGGAGGAGAGCTCCCCGCCCAGCGCTGGAAAAAAGGTAAGTGTTTTTTTTTTAATTTTTTTTCCTTCCAGAGCCAGGGTGGGGGCACCTTCAGGGCACTATAGTACCAGGAAGACTATTGGTTTTTCTGGCACTATAGTGGTCCTTTACTACTAATGCAGGAGGTTTAAGGAAAAAGTTAGATAACTGGCATATTTTACAGCCAGATAATATAAAGTATGTTGGATTAAAAAAAAAAAAAGTTGTATTTAGAAGTGCCCATGACACTAAAAAAAAAAATCCTTACCACAACATTTATAGAAATTTTTTTTTAATTTTTTTTTTTTACTGTGGTGATTGTATGGGGGTGCCAAGTGAGCAGGGACAAGAAAGAGCGACCATTATTTTCCTAACAAGAAGTTGTGTTAACTTAATTTTTATTTATTTTTTTAATTATCACTTGTAACACCACTAATGTTGTGTATGTCCATGTGGCCTCCAGTACGTTGATGAAACATCAAGGTCAGGATATGAGAACATTTTATATATATAAAGGACAGTAGCCTATACATGATCAATGAGGCCCCAGTGTGTAAACTGATCCATGGTAGCGGGCACTAGGTCACAGGGCTGCGACCTCAGTATGTACACCAGTGCATGCACAAACACTTAAAGGGCCACTATAGGCACCCAGACCACTTCAGCTCAATGAAGTGGTCTGGGTGCCAGGTTCCTCTAGTTTTAACCCTACAGCTGAAAACCAAGCAGTTTCAGTGAGGGTTAATCCAGCCTCTAGTAGCTGTTTCACTGACAACCTCTAGAGGTGCTTCTGCCATTCTCACTGTGTCACATTGAGTAATGCTCACCTATGGTGGTTTGAATGAACATGTGCATTATGAGCCAAGTGGCGGAAAGATCCCTATCACAGAGGGAGCCCAGAGCTGGAGAAAGGTAACTGCTGAAGGGTTTTAACCCCTTCAGCCCAGCAGGAGGGGGCCACAAGGTGGGTGGAACTTATGGACTATATCGTGCCAGGAAAATGAGTGTTTGTTTTCCTGGCACTATAGTGGTCCTTGAATGACAAACATTCAGATACACATACAGATACCCATAAAGGCACACAGATATACAGACACACACATTTACTGACAGACATACAGATACAAACTCACTGACTTTTTTTTTTTATATATATATATATATATATATATATATATATATTTATTTAATCCCCCAGCTTCCCTACCTTTGGGAGTGCTGAGGGAATTTCAGCTTTCCCTGGGTTCCAGTGGGGCTGCTGGGCAGCCGGTTATTATTCAGCCCCCTCGTGCGCCACTTACTGGAGCCAGAGTGATGTCATATTCCAGCTCCGGCATCACTGCAGTGCGCTGAGCAGAGTGTTCGGGGGAGAATGCTCCTGCCTGCAAAGTGACCCCACTGCAAACCTCAGGGTGCCCTGAGTTGGCCAGCTCGTGGGCCGCCAACGAGAAGAGGCTGGCAAAATGCAGCCTTGGCCGCACTGGCGTACATACCCTGGTCGCATGGCAAACCGGCCCGGTCGCAACCGTGGTATGTACGCCAGTGGAACGGGATATGCTAATCATACCATGTCACAAAATTATTTTGGAACTTAAAAATCCAGATGTCATTTTTTTGGTGTTCAACATATTTCAGGTCATTAGAGGGGTAACATCCATCTTAAATCCATCTTAAATAAATTAAATGGATCTTTAATTTAGACACAATGACTTCAAATGGCCTTAATATCGATTGGGAGTCTGTTACACTAATCTGTGTCTAATTATAATTTAACCCCTATTATACAGTGTATTGCCTTATTAAGGTTTTTATATATTTTGTATATACATTTTTTTATAGCTTTTTATTGTTTAATGTATCCAAACTTTGGAGAACATTTTTATATATTCATTTTTTTTATCTCCTTTTTACCTTTGATTATGATTTGAAATCAAAAGGGCTATATTTCTTCCTGAGTTTCCAATCAAGTTATATATGTTATATGAATTCCATTTTGGTATGAAGTGCATTAACATTGTTTTATTTATTATCCCATATGATAAATCTGGTTTATGGACATACTTTATATGTATGGGACTTTCGTCTATATGAACGGACAATTCAATAAATACCCATTTGAAATTCAGCCCACAAGCTATATGAGTTCCGTTTATGAGTACACAAGTACACATAGCCGGAAGTGTTATGTGGAGCGCAAGATCCTCGTACCGGAAGGGAAGTTTGGAACGCATGAGTCATCACCCTTGATTCTGAAACTGTGACGTGCTGGTCAAATGCCGGATTTGGGCCCAAATTCAATTACATGTTGTGTATAAATGTTAGTTTGTATTGTAATTTTATGATGCACTTGAAAAAGACGGTCAACGTCGAAACGCGTTGTGCTTTTTATCATTCAGGAAAAATAAAGTATCATGTCTATTTTTCCACTGCTTCCTGTAAATTCTTTACTTGGTTTGCGGGGCAGCTGAACGAGCTGGATGCACCTTATTTACACGCCTATACCGGAGCCTGCTATAAGGGGCTCTGGTAAATGTGAGTAGTTTTGAGCAGATCTGGCCATTTCGTATATCTCTCAAACTATATTTCACTATGCGAGTATTCTAGTTTGTCTCCTATATAGACTAAAGCTTAGATCTAAGTATTACATTGCTTATTGTGTTTTAGCACTTCCCACCCTGTCTTTTATATGCTATGTGATTATATGCTAGGGCAGCACAAAACCAGGATACACCACTGCCTTACACTCGTACATCCATTGGATCTCCAGCCACAAAACCTCCACCAGATGGGTAAATATACTGGTTTCATTTAATTCTTACTAAAAACAGAAGTATACCTGGATAATGTTCATCAGATTTAAAAATTTGTGGAATCATAAAGGGAATAATATAATTCAAGATTTAAGACCACAGGTGGAATGAAGGAATTATATTGATTCACTGGTAATTTGTTTAGCATAATAATAAGTAATAATTTTAGCATATCAAGCTATTATCCAATAATTAGACACATCCTTAAAGGGACACTATAGTCACCCAGACCACTTCAGCTCAATGAAGTGGTCTGGGTGCCAGGTCCCCCAGGTTTTAACCCTTCACATGTTAACATAGCAGTTTCAGAAAAACTGCTATGTCTACATTGCAGGGTTAATCCAGCCTTTAGTGGCTGTTTTCCTGACAGACGCTAGAGGTGCTTCTACAACGATGGAATGCGAAATTCGCATCCAGTGTGCAGAACGTCCATAGGAAAGCATTGAGAAATTGAGAGTTATTCCATACAACCAAGGTATTTTCTCATCTTACCCTTTTTTACTATTTACCCACTTATTATTGAGAGCCCAGATATCCTGTTACTACCTAATATTATTGTGTGATGTGATTAGAGGTGGTAGGCTACGGGGGATGTTCCCCTACAGCTGAGGTATATAACATAGGTGATATGGCTCCCCTCTTTTCTATTTTGTTTTCTGCTTGACTTATTTATCCATCAAAACTCAGGGTCTCAGAGTATTGTTCAGCTCTGGCATTATAGAAATATAGATAGCTTTCGTATTAGGTATTGTAACCGACCAGCCGATAGCTCTGAGAATAGACCATAGTCACATAGGTGTTATATACTTTAACATCTTTTATGCCAAGGCTATACCTCTTTTGCTTGTATACACACTATGTTCAATTATATAACTGATATATGAACAGATTGTTGATCCAAGAAGAAATCTGCCATTATGGACTCAAAATGGATTCCCCCCCTCCCCCTTTTTGTGGCATCATTAGAAATGGCTACAATTGGGGGGAGGTTATATTAGTGTACAGAGGGAAACGGGGGACCAAGTGCCAGTCACCACTGTCAGTACAGATCCCTTCTAACAGAGGAGGGAGCAGGGGGAGCCAAATGGCAGGCATCTCTAGTGGGGGAAGCTGGAAGCCACATGTGTGTTATGAGTGAGCAAGCCGGCAGGGGGGCATATTTGCACTCTATTATGGTCCATAGTCCCATTAAAGGTGGCAGGCATGGTTGTAATATAAGGTAGTGGTGGAACTACCTCCAGTTCGGGAGCACTAGGGCCTGCACATTAAAGGGGCCAACAGGGGTGGCCT